AGGGTCAGGGCTGCCGCGCCGGTCGCCACGCAATGCCAGGCGGCAGCAGGGCAGGCTACAAGAGGTGGGCAGATGGATTTTAGCCCTTCTTTCTCCTCCTGGAGCAGGGCACTGGATGGTTGCCCCTCTCCCCTCAACTCTGGCGTGAGCACTTGGTGTCGGGCAGGGTGGTGAGGGCTCCGTTAAACCCCATGAAGGGCTTTGCTCTGTGATCCGTAACTTCTCTGCTCGTGCGAGATTCCTTTGCATTATAGCCTGTGGGGTGTGGGGGGCAGGAGGGGGAGGGCAGGAAGCAAGTGAAATCCAAATCCCCCCAGATCTCCTGGCCTTTGCCTGCTTGCACCAGTTTCACTTTGCTAAAGCCGATTTGAGCTCTTATCCCAGCCGGGGGGGGGAGGAGGAAGCAGGCAGCTTTGGGAAGAAGGTAAGGGTGTGGGGAGTGGACTTGTCACTGTCCTGCTGGTGCCACTGCCTGTGGCCTACAGCCCTCTTGCTCCGAGAGGTGCCCACATAGAAAGAGACCTCTCACGCTCAACCACAGCATCTCATTAGGTTTAGCACCATTCAGGTTGGGCATGCGGGAAGCCTTGAAGTGTCCTGGATTGCAAGGCTGCAGGTTTTGCCTGCATTCTCCATCTCCCGTGAAGATGAGGTATTCTACAAGGATGAAGGTTTTGCCAAGGCAAAGTTGCCTTCCAGTCCACAATGCCTACAAGGGTTGGCCATGATGTCCCTTTGGAAGGCCATCTGGAGCAGCACAGGCTGCAGGATTAGAGCACTCTGGGATACGTGAGCATAGTGTATGGTGGCAGGAGGGAGGCAGGAAAACTGGTGTTGGATTCTCAGTGGCTCAATTGCTTTAATCTCTGGGATTATGGCAGTGGAGGAATGTGGTGTGTGGCCACGACCTGTTCAGGCTGCCTGGGCTGAATCCAGGTCAGCATCGTAATGGGCTCCAGCCCATGCCATATACCTCTGGCTGACAGCTGAGGGGATGCACAAGGAGCAGGGGGAAAGCGAGTGCTTAGGAACCAACCCAGTACTTGCTGGCAACCCTATATGCTCCTTGAGCCATGCCTCCCCTTTGTCTCTTTCAGGCCAGTTCAGGCCTTTTTCCTCAGTGCCTACAGCTTAACAAAATTGGTCACATTTTAGTGCTAAGGGCTTCAGGGGCATCGAGGTGCTAGCACAATCCCACTGCCAGGTAGTTCTTTTGTTGGGGAGAAAAAGGCGTGGACATCCCATAAATGGAGGGGTTTTTGCCATTTGGGAGCCCTGCCATTCCTAACGGCTGTTTGAGTTGCAAGTCATGGGAAGATTGGTCCCTTCCAAGAGCACTGGTTTCTGGTTGGAAGCAGGATGACCTTGAGTCACAAGAGTATTTGAGGGGCAAAATCATAACATGAAACTGAAGTGCTTACAGCTAAGACGCTGCTAGAGGCTTGAATAATGAGGCTGATCTCATCTTCAAGTGCTCTGAGCCATCCTGCCCGCATATTTCACCATTTCCGTGGAAAGCCCATTTTAACTAGAGCAGCCCATGACCTGGCAGGAATAGAGAGAAGGAGCTTATGTTTCTGCAGTGTTTTTCATCCAGAGACCAAAGCTCATCTATTTCTATATGCCTAGCAATGTAGCAGCTAAATTTTTTACAACTGCTTGGCTAAATGCAAGAAGGGCTGGTCCTTTGTGTTTCATCCTTTTGCATTATCCATATCTAAGGTGAGCAGAAGCTCCAGGAGCAGCAGAATGCACTAGTTTCCTGCTTTGAAGTTTTCTTCAGTTTGCTCTTAGGATATTGCAAGATGCTCAAAGGCCCAGCAAGCTCCATGCAGCAACATGGGTACCGGGAAGCCAACACCATTTGCTGCCACTTGTGCTCAGCAGAGCCTCAAACTTCAAGCAGAGCCTATGGAGGGGTGGGAGATTAAACTGGAATATATGCAGTCTAGGGAAGAGCAGGAGACATGTGGGAGGCAGGACCAGAGGTAGCAAGGGTGTGCCACACTGCCTTAGTCCGAAGGATGATCCCAACTGCTCTTAATTTGCCCAAAGTCCTTCAAAACAGATCTTCCAGCCTTATTTTACGCAGCTATGAAAGGCTGCACTTTGCTTTTGGGCAATGTAAGACTGGGTGTTGAACTGACTGAGGTGAGAAGCATCACGCAGCTGGGGCAGGGGGACCCAGTGCTGGCACTAACCAGTGTCGGGGCTTAATGATTAACAAGGAGGATGAAAATATTGCCATCTCCACTGAAAACACTTCCAAGCTTTCCCTGTTGTTCTGGGAAATACCCTCAATGGCGCCACACCCTGACATCTGGATTTACACACTGTGTCCCACGATGCTGTGTACAGATGTGGGGGGGGTGCTGATATACCTGCCCCTCTTCTTCCCTTCTTCTTTACCACCTTGGCATCTGCAGGCTGCTGAATGAAAGCGACAAGCGGCCCTTTATCGAGGAGGCGGAGAGGCTGCGGATGCAGCACAAGAAGGACCATCCTGATTACAAGTACCAGCCCCGCCGCCGGAAAAACGGCAAGGCCACGCAGGGCGAGGGTGAAGGCCAAGTGGAGGGGGAGGCCGGCGGGGCTGCTGCCATTCAGGCCCACTACAAGAACCCCCACCTGGATCACAGACATCCCGGCGAAGGGTCGCCCATGTCCGATGGTCATCCGGATCACTCCTCAGGTGAGTCTCAGGTCTCTGTAATCCTACTCACAGGTTACAGCCTACTCAGAGGCTCATAACAGACAAGTCATCAAGGTGAAAGCCTCAGCAATGTGGTTCACACCTTGCTCGAGAGCCAACAAACTGCTGGAGCCAGCGGTATAGGGACGTGCTTGAGTTTCACGGGTGCTTGCATTCTCTGGTCAGGCAAGGTATTGCTGCACTCTCCTATTTACTTCCACGAGATTATAGAAAAAGGTTTGGTTTTGGCTGGCTGCTTCTCTCCCTCTACTGAAGTCTCCAGTCTAATGGTCGCTGGCATAGTGGGAGGAGTGGAGCTGGGCTGTGTATAAAGCCAGGCCTAAAGCAGTAACTCACCTCTTCTCTCTCTTTCCTCCTCAAAATGTTTTTCAAGTTGCAGGTCAGAGCCATGGGCCCCCAACACCTCCTACCACCCCTAAGACCGAGATGCAGGCAGGCAAAGCTGACTCCAAGAGAGAAGGGCGTTCCCTGGGGGAAGGGGGAAAGCCACACATTGACTTTGGCAATGTGGACATCGGAGAGATCAGCCACGAAGTGATGTCCAACATGGAGACCTTTGATGTCAATGAATTCGACCAGTACCTGCCGCCCAACGGACATGCCGGCCACCCAGGCCATGTTGGGGGCTACGCGGCAGCGGCGGCTGCTGGCTATGGCCTCGGGAGCGCACTGGCTGCAGCCAGTGGACACTCTGCCTGGATCTCCAAGCAGCACGGAGTCTCCTTGTCCACTGCCACCTCATCGGTGGTGGACTCCAAGGCCCAGGTGAAAACGGAGGGGTCTGCTCCTGGAGGTCATTACACCGACCAGCCCTCCACCTCCCAGATAGCTTATACATCCCTGAGTCTGCCCCACTATGGCTCGGCCTTCCCCTCCATCTCCAGGCCACAGTTTGACTACCCAGACCACCAGCCCTCGGGACCCTACTACAGCCATTCCACCCAAGCCTCTGGCCTCTACTCGGCCTTCTCCTATATGGGACCTTCCCAACGTCCCCTTTACACTGCCATCTCTGACCCTGCACCCTCCGTGCCACAGTCCCATAGCCCCACACATTGGGAACAGCCCGTGTATACGACTCTCTCCAGACCGTAGGGAATGGGGAACAGTGACCGAAGCGGCGATGGAAAGGCTCCGAAGAATCAGCACAGGCAGAAGAGCCTCCGAACTCCGAGGTCACTCAGTGCCATCCAGCCACCAGAACTCACTGAGTATACAGAAGTGCCTTTCTTGACCCCGGCTATCGCTGGCTCACCCGCCTAGAGGAAGGTTTTTCGTCCTTTCGCCCTGTACCAATTTCAAGCATGCAAGCCACGCGATTGGCTTGCAACACCTTACTGGCCTTCTAGATGAGGAGGATTCTAGACATGGAGTGACTGGTCCATGGTGGGTTTCGCTGTGTGCACCCTGGACTGTACGATGAGAGAGACTGTCCTTTCCTTTCCCTCCCCAGACTGCTCCAGGGAGTTAGCAAGTGTTCCCAACAGGCCGCAATGGCCAACACTTTCTCACCTGCTGCGGGTGAAGGGTGGTTGCTCAGACTTGGTGAACTTGTTACGCGAGGAGTAGTGGGGAGGATGGCATGGCCAGCTTCCTTGTGATCAGTGTTGTGCAGCAGTCCTGCCTAAGATTCACACATGCATGAATCTTGAACTTTGTTGGAAGACCAACCTACGCTTGCTTCCCTGCTGATTTCCACAGCTGCATCCTAGTTTTAATTCCCACCTCTTCTCTCCATCTTGTCTCTGTTTAATCCCACACTCTTTCCTGCATGGAAATTTTAATGCCTGCCTGAACAACACATAGGACTCAGGAACCCTAGTGTTACTCATACCACAGCCCGCGTGTTCATGTATGGAGGTGCAGAAGTGGGGAAGGACCAGTGAATCACTAAGGTGCTGTGGGTGAATCCTCCTTTTTTACAATTACTCTATATTGTTCATTTATGTCTGGCATTTCAGTCTTTTCTAATCTCTCCAGTATCCCAAACAACCTCTAGACAAACTTTGTCCTTGCTCTTCCATGTCTGACTGTGCACTGCCTGAAACTAAGAGGCACCAAGAAAGTTACTATGCACTTGCCAAGACCCCAAGTCAATTCCAACACTGTCTTCGAACGCCCACTCCAAACTCAGGCTGATTGGCTGTGCATCCCCACATGTTTGTTCACCATGTCTTCCAGTCAACAACTCCCTCCTACCTATGCTGAGGATGGAAAGATACTCCTGCAGCTTTAAGCAAGGTAGATATGCATCCAATCTTGGACTAGTGTAAGGAAGAGAACCCTATTTAGGTGCAAAGGAACTTGATTTCCCCTTTGGGTTTCAAACTGGAATTCAACAGCTCTTGCAGTCAAATCAAGTTCTTGTTTTTAGCCCAACACCTGTGGACAGTCTGCTTACTTCTTTGTCACCTCCAGGACTGGAGTGGTTTGTCATGCCAGGGAGTGAACTGGCACAAAAGTTGCTGCAGGAAAAGATGACTCCTGGCAATTGATCAGAGAGACATGTCGTGAGACCTTCCAATGGATATTCCCGTCTAGAAAGACAAAATGCTCTGACCAAACGTGGACTGTGATCGGTACCACTGTACCCCTCTGCTGATATGACTGTCAGATGCCTTTCCTGCCTCCCTTAGCTATGGATGACTTATCCTTGTGGTGTCTGAAAAGATCATGTAGAATGTTTGCTCCTTGTACGCATGTAACCTCTTCCAGCCCTGTCCCCTTATTTATGCAAGTAGCACCTTCCTCTCCCACCTCCCTTTCCCCAGTCTTATGCCATCCTAGCACCATTAACTCTGCATTAAACATATGGAATAATAAACTTAAAAGTTTCATTTTCACGTGTCTGGGGTTTTTTGACCTCTTTCATGCAAGCCTCTGTTTTTTTCCCAGTAATTGCAAGGATGGGTGATACCACCACCACACGGATCCTGTGCACAGCCTCCCTCTGCCTGTCATGAAAATGATACAGGCAGAACTCTGACTGGCTTTACCAGACTCCTTCATGGAGATGAAACTCCTCTTCTGTTCACACCCCAGCTCCAGTCATTTCTTCAGTGAGAGATGTAGTAGCACTCATTTCTGTTCTTCAGCTAAGATTCAGCACATGCAATTAGGAAAAGCACTGTTTTGCATGTGTTTAACCCAAGAATTTCTTAGTGTGACTGTTAATGCTCTGCAGAATAGGAGCGTGGGGTTTCTTGTCTTGTTTTCTTCCTCATCACCAGGCGGCAGATGGCATGCTTTCAAAACTCCCAAACCCCAAACTTCCCCACAAATGCAAATTCATGCATTTTGGAAGCAACCATTAATTTCTCTGTAGAATCTCAACACCCTGGCCTCTTGCCTTCCACACATGAGAACCTAAATACAAATGCTCATACACAGTATATTCAAGAATAGATGTATAACACCTTCTTACTTGTTGAAGAAAACATCCTGGGTGTAAAGTCCTGGGAAGTTATCTGAAGATATTTGGAAAGAAAACGTACAGCAGATTTTAGTCTGCTTAAGAACATCTCTCAAGGCCAATGGTAGCAAGGTAGGATTTCAATTAACACACACATTCCACAACAATCATAAACTGATTACAAAGAGTTTCAATGCTGATGCATGTGATCCATCCAGTGAGTTCGTGTTCACTGAAGGCTTTCTGTGTGAGTGGAGTAAGCAGGATGTCTAGGAACTGTTGAACATGTTCAAAGGCTTTTACAACTTACAGCACTATTTGGATGAAGTCCTGTATAGGGCCAAGAGCAACAGCAGAACAGCTCAATGCATCTAACGAGGGTGATGCCAGCTGAAGAGCTCCATGCCAAATAGAACTGTGGCCATTCACTGGAGAGGAGGATAAATCTCTACCCACAAATTACAGGCTGTGGGAAGAGTCCAGAAGGGAAATACTGCACCCCTGAGCAGGTCAGGAGCATGTGTGGGAAAGAAGGGAAGCTATGGTGGAGTTAAGAGGTAGGAGAGCTGATCACAAGGGTGGGAGAGAGAAGGAACATGGTATCAATGAACAGAAGAGCAGGAAAAGAAAGGTCTTAACCCCACACAGGTAGCCTTCTCCAGCTCTTCAAAAAGCAAATGAAGAAAGAAGTGAGTGAACTTTGCCTCAACCATTCTCTAATGGAAGGGGATGCCTTCTCTCATCTAGGAGTGTCGTAACAACTAGGACAGGACTGAGATCGCTGCTGGTAACAGAGGGGTTAACCACTTCTCTTGCAGCATAGAAGGAGCTGGCCCGGCATCCTTCCCTATCCCTTTAATCGTATCTGATACAGATGCAAGGCTGGGGAGGGGAGGCGGGGAGGAACAAAGAAGTCATTTAAAAAAAAAGAAAAAAAGGACAAGAAAACGACCCCCGCACTCCATGGCAGACGCCAAAATGATTGCACAAAGGCACCATTTCAGGGCTGAAATTTCACCGCACCAACGTGATTAAAGGATTCCACGGAGGGTGGGGGGAGAAGGCTGAAGGCCACAGTGCTGCAAATTAACCTTTTCTTGGTAAGGATGGCCTGGACCAGGAAGCATTTGTGTGCCTTCCAGTCAACCCCCTTCCCACACCTGCAAGCATCTCCACATTCCCTTTGACCTGGGACCTGTTCAGCTCTGGCATTTTTGCCTCCAAAACCAGCCCCTCCTGTGCACACCAACAGAGGAAGGATGGACGCTTTTACAGGGAGCAGTAAGAGAATGACATTCATGGCTGGTTATATGAGCCGAGCTCCCAGGCAGGTGGATGCACACTCCCTCTTTGGGACATGGATGCTCATGTGCAGGCACTGACTACACACACCATATGGAGAATGCACATTTTATATAGACACACAAGCTTTAATACAAAGTAGTTGGAAACATTCTTTCTGAAACAGCATAAAGAGAAAAATTAATGTAAAGCAGAAAGCATAGGTGAGGTGCACCTTCCCCCTTCTTCTCCTTAAAAAAGAAAACAGAAATTCCAAGGTCACTTTTTAATATGATAATTGAGAAAGACTTGGCCCAAGAGCTCAGATCTTCCTCAGGCAGAGCAAGAACCTTGGGGCACAGAGATAAAGAAATGAAAACTAGGTAGTGGCTGGCTGGAAGCCCTTGCAGATTGTAATGCATCCACCCAACTCTTGACTTAAGCATATAACCTCTCCGCACATCAGAGATGAGAGTGCAGGCACCTGAAGAGGACAACTGACTGATCTTCCATCACACTACAGATTAAAGGAACTCTAGGATTTAACTACAGTTGTGCCACCATAAGAGACACCAGAGTATGCACAACTGAGATGGCTGGAGAGCACCCACACACCCAGGACCATCCATCCCACTACATGTCAGAGAAGGGCTGTACGAGGAGCAAGCTCAGAAACAACCTACAGCTGCTGAACTGGTGGGACTGTGAGTGGTGACCGCGCTTCCGGCTGGGGCAGTGCCACTGAAAGGGGATCCCCACTTCTGATAAGCAGCAGGAGCAGGGAAACAATAGGCGATTTGATGAGAGCTGCTCTATGATACTCCTGAGAAGCCCCACAGCCAGCCCCAGCCAGAGAGGAAATTGGGGGTTTCCACAGCAACCTGCTGAGGGCACAAAGGCCCAACTGTCTAGAGGGAAGCAATGGAGGTGTCTCAGCGCTCATGTTTTAAGAAGAGACGGGGTGGAAGGCTGGAATCTTTCTGAAGCCAAGTACCTGCAAGAGCATTTTTGTACAGCAGGAGCTTAATTGGCTCTTGGTCCTATAACCAGGGAGGAGCAGTGCTGAAGGAAGAGGAAACAGTTACTGCAGTCCTGAGCCTAGCTAACAGGTATGCTCAAGACCGCACCTTATCAGGTGAAAAAAAAGCTGCACTTGGCTTCCAATCTTATTAACATAGCCCATGACACAGAAACAAAGAATGATGACCAAACTGGTAGAGAGAAGTATGAAAGTCTTCTCTTGGGCATGTAAGACTGAGATGAAAGAGAAGGCGGAAGGAAAAAAACCCAAACACATTTAACTTAAAATAAGGGGGTGTGTGTCATAATTTATTTACATAAACAAAAATAGAAGCATCTCTGGAGAAGGAAAGAACCAAAACAATAGCTGGAGGCTGCTCAGTCTGTGATAATTAACTCATCCACACCCCAGTCCTCGTAGCTCCCATCTGGTAGGTAACGACGGATGATTATGGGGATCTTGCGGGCTCTGAAGGGAGGACAGAGATGTGAACAGAAATGCCAGAGCATTTGCACTGTACCACTTGAGCAGGCAATGGGAACTGGGGTGCTTAGTGGCTTCAGTAAAGTCATGAGGTTTAACTGAGAGATCTGTGTAGCAACAGTGATTTAGCATTACACAACAGAGGGAAGCCCCAGCAACCTTCTCTCTTTTGTAAGTGCAAAGCACTGAGCACTCTTAAACTCAAAACAACCAAAGACCTATGGGACAACCCTCTATTGCTAATGCAGGAGTTGAGACCTGTGATCTGAACCCACTATGAGGCAGCACCAAGCATCTAATACAGATATGGGGGGGAGGGAATCATAAAGGGACTTGAACAAATCCACTTTTTGTTTGATGAAAGATTTTTCCCCACAAGATGCTACAAAAGTAGCAGAACTGTGAGAACCTTCATAACAAACCGGTGTTCACAGACTATTTTGCACCCTGAGAGCATCAGTTACATTTTAAGAAGGATACATGCACTAAGGACTATTAAGGTATCAAAAGCTGGTACAGCTGAGGTAGAGCACAGCATCTGCTAACAGTGCTTCCAATTACAAAGCAAGAAACAGCTAAACAGAATTAAACTTAATGGAAATAGACTTAAGTCAGCAGAATGCATCAGTCTGGAATCTAAGCAGGGCATCAGGTTTCAACCATATCAGACTTGCAAAGAGATATAATTTCTTTAGTGATCACATTCAGGGCCGCTGTTTTTCCAGTAGCAAAGTAGTTCCCTCATGCCGAGAATTACAATCCAATTTTGGCACAGAACAGGATGCCACTATACTTTTGTCACACCCTGACTTACTGCTAGAGCTCACAATCAGACATTACTCTGGCTGAGCTTAGAGATCAGGAACGTGACCCGAGGAGGTTTTGGCAATGATAAAGGGAGCTGTAATAGATGTAAAATCTGCAAGAGCAACTGCAATGCACCGACACACTGGGGGAGCAAAGGGACAGTTCAGTTCAACAACAGGGACTTGATCAGTAAACAGAACCCAGTTGCTCTGCTTGAAGGATCCTTGCATGTGATCCAGGTCACTGACCACGCAGGACAACTGCAGGCCATGTGGGAGCTCTGCTGTGGAATGGTGGGCCTGTAAGTGATGATCCAAAAGCTGCCTCTGCTACAGTCAGAAGGGATTTATTTATCTTTCTGTATGCAGGGGATGTGCCTCTCCATAATAAACCAAATGTACAAAGGTGTGGGAAAAGAACATTCTTAAGAGGGTCTCCACACCATCAGCGCAACCCTTATTCCATTTTTTGCCAGTACTTCATTTGAACCCAGGTCTGTTCAGATGGCTGCTTCAAATCAGCTTCTTTCAGGAAATTAAACTGATTCCAGAAAGATGAGGACCTTGAGTTCTCATCAGAGAAATAAAGAACACTTGGGTTCCAAAGTAAAAGAGGTGAAAGCATTCATATCATTACTGCTTTGCATGAGCAACTAGGATGGGAAACTGCAGCTGCAAGAAGTCCCAAGGTGAAAAAGGGGATGGGAACTGTAGTACTCACTGTTATAAAAAACAAAGTGTACCAATAGCAGCATTGTTATTGAGATCAATGCTGTCTTGGAATAAACTGCTATATGCTGGGATGAGGAAAAGACCACTGGTTTTATGGAATCAATACACTCACCACCAAAGTCTAGGACTTACTTGAGTTCTTTCATGGCAATCAGCAAGGGGTCTGTCTCTCCTTCCAACTCCACCATCACAGGGGCACACATCCTGGGACACAACATCAGTAATCATGAGTTAGAACATCAACAATCATCAACACACAGAGGGGGAAAAGGGACATCTAAGGCTTTGTTTGGGGGAAATTAAAAGCTGAATTTATGACGCACCCTACTTTTAAGAAGCAAAGATTAAGCATTTTGCAGAGGGTGGTAACAACCAAGCAAATGTGGGTGACCACATCTGCCCATGAGGCAGCAGCAAAAAAGTTCACATTATGTGTGGGTAAGACCGCTGGGGGCTGCTGCTGGCCAAAGTTCAGCACTGAAGTCAGAATATGTAGGTGAAACAGAACCAAGGGCCAGTGTTCTGGATTAAACACAGGGCATGGGCCCATCTCACCTCCCCCATTTTTCTGGCCTTCCACCAGTTGAAAGAATGCGCATGAAATAGCTTTAGAGTGCACACTGTGGGAAGAGTAGCTTAGCAAAGGAAAGATGTGATCACCACCTATGAGCTTCTAAACAATGTAGAGGAGAAGCATCATTCTGAGGGTGGATTTAACGAAGGTGAAACTCAGAGATGTGCTTTCAGACAAACCTTGCTGCTAATAATCCTGCTCACAAGCTGTTTTTTAAAAAAACAAAGCTTTTTGATACGCATTATTAAAATAAGTCTAGGCAGGTAAATGAATGAAGTTGAGAGCAGCCAGTCTTAGCAGCACTTAAGACTAGGATTTAGATGTTATCTATTATAAATGAGACCTTACCAATTCAAATACTTGATAAAACAACAGCTTGTCACAATGCAACTGCACTCAAACAGGCTTCAGGTTGCTTATTTCATTCCCAATTCCTATGGCTCTGTGCTAACAACTGAAGATATTCTGGAGCATCCCTTCCTCCAACACTGGCTGTTGCAAACCAGTTCTGAGCTTTCCAGCCCACACTGGCTCCCTCAGGAAAGCCAGCAACCAGAATCTGCTTGTCACATTCCCTACTATTTTGCCTGACCTAGGAAAGTTCACTGCAGCTGGTGAATACTCCCGTCTGTAAGCACAAGTACCACGCTCTCAGCCGAGACAGAGAGCCTTCAGGTGCAACTAGGAGCTTCAGCAGTGATCAAGATGGTGATCTGCAAGCTCAGGTAAGGGACCATATAAGTCCTGGACGTTTTTAAGGAAAGAGGATGCTCAGGATGTGGCGGTGCTCAGGACAGAGAGGGAAATACTCACGCTATCTGGAGGGCACGTGTGCCCAGCACTCTGGCTCGCTCATACTTGGTCATGTAGGGGGTAGTGATCCTCTTCTGGTTCGCTTGCTGCCGCTCTCCGGACGGCAGGATCTCCACGTTCTCCTGTCCCTCCTGCGAGAAGAACACCAGCGCTGCAGCTCAGCTGCGCCTACCACCGCGGCCTGAAGGCGATGGCAACACACCGAGGCCTCCCCAGCCCCACCGACCGACCGCCCAGACAGGCAGAGCGGGGCACCCACCTCCTCCGCGTTCTCCAGGTCCTCCAGGCCCTCATCCTCCTCCACGTCATCGAAGTCGTCCCCGTCAAAGCTGCGGGAAACACATGCAAGTTAAGGGGCGGGTCAAACAGAGCCTGTTTCCCCCCCCAGCCTCGCTTCGCCTCTTTTCCTTTTCCCTTCCCCGTCCCTCCCGCCCGATCCAGCTCTCACTTGTCCTCGTTATCGGACATGTTGCCTCCCCTCCGCCTCCTCTCCCGGCGGAAGTAGGAGCCACATCCGGGTACTCACCACGACGTTTCCGGACGTGCTCTGGCGGCGCTGTTGCCATGGCGACGCAGCACGGCGCCGCTCCCGTTCCCGTTCCCGCTGCCTTCCATCCTCGCCGCCGCTCCCTCTCTCCCAGGCAGCCGCTGGCCGCTACGGAGCCGTTAGAGCCCGCGGCCTAACGGCTGAGCCCATGGCGGCACGGCCCGCCGGGATGCCGGGATGCGGCGGCCCCTCGGCGGTGAGGGATGGTGCAGCCCGGTACAGCCCGGGCACCCGGGAGCTGCTCAGAGGTAACGGCGGAGCGGCCTGCCCTCGCTGCGGGGAGGAGACCCACACACACCCCGAAGTGAAGTCCCATCGCGGTCCCCTGGGAGAGCGTGGGGGGGAAACGGGGCAAGCCCGCCTTGAGTCTTCTAAACCTACATCTGCTCCTTCGTGTTTGGCCTGGCTGCCGGCTTCACCCTATGTCATGTTTTCCAGCGATGATGGAGGAGTCGAAGCTGACGCATTTCCAGAGGCGATACCTGATGGAGTGTGTGGAACGTGAGTGGTGGCTCTTTTGTTGCCGTGCTCTGGTGAGGAGCTTTTGCAGCTCACCTTGAGACTGTGCCACTGGCCCACTGCCAGTGTGGACAGGCCCGTGCTGTAAAACAGCAGCATGGCCCTTGCCAACACACAAGAGTGAAGGGTCCCCACAGTCAGCCAGGTGCAATGGAGAGGCTTGGACCACAGCTGGTGTGCTGTCAGGGCTCACCAGCAACCAGGGTGAAATGTATGTGGCACCCAGGGTCTTTACTAGTGGTGCTGCAGTGGATCAACAGGCAGATCTTCTGCTGGCAGTAGCCCAGGGCCGTCTGTCCACCCGTCCATCCATCCATCCATCCATCCATCCATCCATCCATCCATCCATCCAGACTTAATGTTGGTTTTGGTTTATTTCCCAGGAGGAGATACCATGCCCCTCCAGTGCCACCCCACAACCAGCAAAGAGCCAGCGCCTGCTTCCTCTCCACCTGCTCATCAGCAGAGCAGGCTTTCAGCTAAACCCCATCTCCGACCTGCCAGTGCCTGCCAGGCGGGAGATTCCTACACCCGAGAGAAATTCAAGCCACGGGCAACACGTAAGTCAGTAAACATGGCTAATAAATAAATGGTGCCACCCAGTCCCTCCCTTCCCCTTCCATCCATCCCCTGCCAGCAGTCTCAGCAGAGGCAGGAAGGATCTGAACTGCTGTTCATCCTCACACTTTAGAAATGGATCTCTGAGGGAAGATCTATGGTAAGTGCTTGCTGACTTCTGCCTGCTGGATGGTGGGTGACAGGTAATGATGGGGAATGGTTTTAAACTGAAGGAGAGTGGATTTAGATTAGACATTAGGAAGAAGCTCTTCCCTGTGAGGGTAGTGAGGTGCTGGCACAGGTTGCCCAGAGAAGCTGTGGCTGCCCCATCCCTGGCAGTGTTCAAGGCCAGGTTGGATGGGGCTTGGAGCAAACCTGGTCTAGTGAAAGGTGTCCCTGCCCGTGGCAGGGGGTTGGAACTGGGTGAGCTTTAAGGTCCCTTCCAACCCAAACTTTTTTATGATTCTATGACTCACATACTCGTTGCATAACATGGGAGCATTGTGTGATTTTCAAGCTTGTAAATTTGAACCTCTGAGGGCAGTCTGGCTGGCTCTGTATGCCCATGCAGTGCTTGTGCAGTTCAGTCCATCGTTAACTAAGTGCTTCCTCTGGTGTCCTTAGGAGGGAAGTGCTGTGGCCAGGCTCCTCTGTGAGGAGACAGACCTATGATCAATTTTTTCTCCTTGGCATACACAGGAGATTTGGAAAAGGAGAAGCAAAGGCTCCAAAACATCTTAGCAACAGGAAAGGATGTGGTGGAGCACAAGGTGAAGCCAGTGGTGGTTCAGACCAAGGAAGAGGAGATCCCCGAGCCTGACCGATTTGAAGAATGTACATCTTACTGTTCCCTGGAGGAAGGCAGGAGGGAGGCCTGGGAAGTGGGCTCCCTCCAAGGGCTGGGCTGGCGGGCCATGGGGCTGGTAACATGAAGCCCATTGCTGAAGGAGGCACAAAGCCCAGTTTCCAAGAGAAAGGAATTGCTGCTGTGGTGCTGTGACCTCGCCATCCTCACAGAATTTACACTGCTGGCAGTTTCAAGCTCCCTTGGTTTGCCCGCCTCTTTGCAAACCTTGCAAGACGTTTGCTGGCAGGTTCAAGCTCCCTGGGCTGCCAGGGAGTTTCCAAGGGATGCGCAGGGAGACCTGGGCAGGAAGCCCATGTAATGCCTGTCCTCTGTCCAGCCAGTGTCACTCAGCATAGGCTAGGATGCTCACCAGCCTGACCGTGCTTTGGGCTCTCTTCTTTTACTTCAGCTGAAATGTCAACCAGAATTTTAAGCAGTGATGGACTTTGGCTGCAGAGTATTCTAGGATGGCAATACCCTCACCTAATATCTCCATGTGCTTGAATCTTCAGTGTGTGTGCACACCCCAGCCAACCCTTCACTAGCCAGGGCAGCACAGAGGTGGCCAACACTAGGATAACACGTATAGAAGGGGTGCTTTAGTCCCTGCCATAGAGAAGCCAGTGTGGCTGGCTTCATGCCTGCCCTGTATCATCTAAAACTTGTTGCAAGATGAGCGTTGTCCTTGGCACATACGAAATACCCATGTGCTTTGTACTGAGCAAGGTTTGGACCAGCTAACTTCAGGTCTGTGCTGCAAAGCAGCAGCTCATGTTCAGTGCCTGTGCTAGGCCTGAGGGCAGAGACGGTTGCCATCACTGGGTGATGTGTGTCAACTAATGAACCTCAACAGCTTTAGGCAGGTTCTGTCTCCATCCACAGACTGGTTAATTGTCCACAAGTAACAGAGAATTGTTGGTACAAAGAAAACTAGAAAGTTCCTATTCCTACAAGATGGGGAGAGGTAAAAGATGGGTAGGGGTGACATTTTACATTGCATAATTGACTACTGAGGTATTTTGATGACATGAGCAAGATGGGCATTACAGTAGTCCCTTCCCCCGGTGGGACTGCTGCTCAAACAGAGCTAGGAAATTGGGGGTTCAGATCTAGGCAGAAACATGTTTTCTTGCCTTTCATCTGAATCCTGTTTCCACAGTGTTTTCTCTTATCCATCAGTGGTGAATGAAATTCAGGAGAGAAAGGAGTTCCTGGCAGAGATGGAAGCTCTAGGACAGGGCAAGGAGTATCGAAGGATCATCCTCACTGAAATCTCACAGGTATGTGAGGGCCCTGGCGGCACTGGTTGTACAGTACATGATCATGTAGTACTGTCAGAGACCTTAAAGCAGTGTGTCCTCCAATACCTCAGTAGACAAGTGGGCAGACAACTGTCTCCCTTCATGGCATAGGACAGGCATGTCCTATGGGATGGGGGACAGAGGTCTTCAGGCTTGCTTTCCACCTCTGCATGTAACTTAATCAGGGAAATAGCACTTCTGTTCTTGGGATTGGCAAAAGAATTAAAAACCCCCAAAGCCTGCCAGCTTTCTCCCTGCTCAGCCCTTCCCCTTTGTGCTTTGCAGAAAATGCGTGAGATGGAGATCCTTGACAAGAAGAAAAGTGAGGAAATGGAAGAGTTCATGACAAAAGACTTCACTGGTGGGAACAAATCTGATCCCCATGACTAGGCCAAGGGAAAACACAAGTGCAATTTGTTCCCACTTCTTCTTCCCAGACTCTTAGAATCCAAGTCTCAAGGGCTGGTCTGTGCCTGTGCCCGAAGAGGGGGCAGCACCTCATGCTGCCTGAAGCCAGAAGGCAGGAGCAATTTGTACATAACTGGTGCCAGAAGAAAGCTATTATAAAATCCTGCCCTCGCACATGATCCCTTATTGCTTAACGATATTAAAGAGATGAAAACACACAGCAGCAGCTACCAAATGTGATAAAGCTGAGCCTCCTTTTGCCTATGGAATGCCTCAGAACATGGCAATCCATTGATAGTAAGTCACTCCTTTCCATCCACCCAGAGGTGGACGTTTCTTGCAACAGCACAATGCTAACACACATATTGCCACCCACATTATGACCTGCTCCTGTCCCCATGACTGGGAATGGCTCCAGGGAAGAAAGACGCAGCTGCGTGGCTCTGTGCAAGCACTATCCTCTACCATTGCTGCAGGTCAGTGTGATTGTGTGCATTACCGAACTTCTCACTGGCAGCTGATCTGGAACAAAGGTGAGGAGGGAGAGGGGACTTCAGCCCATGCCTGCTGTTCTTTGCTGCTGCAGGCTTGCTGTGGGTTTTTGTTCCTGAGAGCGCACTATGCAGAACAGTCACCCACTTCCCACAGAGCCTGGAAATGGCTGTTTGCTCACCTCATACATAGCCCGCCTCTGCCCTCTGGCAGGCTGACCATGATTGCCCTGCTATTCCTGTGTAAATCCCAGCATAAAATCCACCTTCCAATTTCTTTAAGATCCCATCCTCTGCCTCTTAGCAATACTCGTCAGCCATTTCCCAAAGCCAGGCAGCACACTCTGTCCCCGGGATAGCACAAGTGCACAAAGGAATCGGAAACCTAAGCTGCAACCAGTTTTTCAATCCAATGTTTCTTTTATTTCTGTTCAGGTGAATGGAAGTCACGGAGTTAGTACAGTATAATTCCCAAATCAATCCCCTGACTGGGCACAGGGCCAAGGGGTTTCAGGCTGCAGCGATCCCGATGGCCTTTGGCAACAGTGACCTGACAGCAGGCTCTAAAGTGGGTTTGTTTCTCCTTAGAGAAGAATTGTGCTTTGGGATCTCCCCTCCCACTGCTCCTCATCAGCCTGCTGGGGTATGGCAAGAGTGGGATGGCATCACCAGTGCAGGGCTGAGCTTGCCACCTCCCACCCATGGGGGCTATGCTGGCACAGAGGAGGGGCTGGATCCCTCCTCAGGGAGGGATCCCTTTCCAGAATGCTATGGCAGCCACCTTGCAAGGCACTGCTCTGCTCTGAGAGCATTTTGGCTAAAGCCTGTTGGGTTTTGAAAAGGGACTGCAGCAGATTGCTTGGGGCTTGTTATGTCTGGTTTGCAAATGAGAAGGCATGATGAACCACTTGACCAACCAAGCACCCATGAAACTCAAATTCAGACTGATCTGACAATTCAATAAATAACTCCTCGCCTTGGAGAAGGTGGGAAACAAAAATGGAAGGAGGAAGGGATGGCTGGAAGAACACTGCCCCCCATTCCCTCCTCCAATGTACACACACACACACGACAAATAAAATAAGGGGTTTAAAAAGTTTTCAGGTGGGTTTGAATTCATCTAGTAAAGGAGGTGTAAAAAACAACCAGCCCACCCCTGCACACTTTTAAAGCATACACAGGTGAAGCTGGGTAAAGGTCAGTTGTGACTGTGCCTCTCTCCCCAGCCGCCCAAGGGTGACACTGGTGGGCAGGAGCACCAGCTTAGTGCCCCTTGCTGGCACTGTCTTGAGCTTTTCTGCCCCTGCCTGGAAAAGGAATGTTCCTCCCTCCCTCCATCCAACGGCAGCAACGGCAGCAGTGTTTAGCAGCAGTGTGGGGTAAGATGTCCTGAGTAGGGCGCGTGAGCTATGTCCTAGCAGCTGTACACCATCCCCTTGGGTCCTCTCAGCCCAGTAACGGAGCTCACCCAGCTCTGGAGCTCAAGGGAGGGGACAGCTCAAAATAAATAGGGCACCAGTTATGGTTTTGGCTGTGGCTCTAGAGCCTTGTGATGTGGGACTGTTTTCCTAACAGTTAAGTTTAGGTCAGTAAAACCCAAAGAATCCTGGCTCTAATGCCAGAGTTTTCTCCCGAAGTTAAAAACAGGACAGAAAGGGGACAAAAGCAGGCAGGCAGGCAGGGAGGGACAGGCAGGCCCAGTCCTTTCCTGGCTGAGGTCGGAGGCACATGGAACTGTCACAGTTAGAGCGGGAGAAGGGACAGGGGAGGGAGCAGTTAGTGCAAGTTTTCCCACAAACACGAAACTCCTTGGCTTGCTTCTCAGTTAATGACAAGAACACGCAATGGGGTAACGTATCCGAAAAGCAAATACGTTTTCTCCTCGCCTCCTTAGCAAGGCTTCACAGAGCGGGAATGGTCATGCTCCTCCACAGCCTTGGGAAAGGGAGTGCTTTGGTCGGAGTCCCTCACTCCAGGCAAAGGACTGGCATCTCTCCGGGCCAGCAGCTCCAGTGCCTGGGGAGGGAGCACGGGGAGAGGCGAGGGGAGAGGAGGGAGACAAGCCCCCTTCCTGGCAGGAATCCCAGCTAGCTGCAGGGAGGCCAGGGCAGTCGGGCAGCGCAACCCTCCTGCTGCTGCTGTTCTCCTGCTCTAGCTTTTCTCCTTGGGTGACTTGCTCTTGGAGTCATGCTTGTTGCCCAGCAGCTTAAGCACCTTCATGGGCTTGAATTTGCCCTTCTTCTTGCTCTCGGTCTCTGTCTCCTTGTGAAATTCTGGGGTTGCAAAGGGAGGTGGTTATTGCAGGGTGCTGATGGTTGTACACACACACGCACAACAACAGGGGCAAGATAGCCATGAATGAAAGCCCTCCACTGCATACATACTTCATTCTGTGATAATAGGGGTGCACAGCACAACTGTGCCCCAAATTTTAACAGCCCTGCAGGAACAGCTCCAGAGTCTACACAAAAGAGATTCTTTCCTGCACAGTTTCATCAATGGCTTGTGCTGCCCTTTGCTGGGGTCAGCAGTGAAAACATCGCTCCAAAGATCTTATCCAATGTTTCTTACCTTTCCTTTTAATCATGGCTTCCAACATTTTATCTTCCTCCTCTTCTCTGAAAGAAAGAATGGGAAAGAGGTCAGCAACTGAGCCCTGAAAACAGCTGCTCTATTGTTTGAGGCTAGAGAACCTCCTACTTCTAACTCATGGAGGGGCAGATCCATCACTGTCTTGTGAGCGTTTGCTAACAGCAGGATAAATCTGATGTGCTGCACATATTGCCCTGTCTTTCTCATACAAAGCATTCAAACAGACAAGGACTGGGAAGCCTGGGAAAGACATCAGCAATAGGGACATCTCAGGACACCCCCACAGGCTGCTCACATGGCACTGAATCAGACAGGCTGTGTTTTTCCCACTCCCTCAGCCACCCCAGTCCTCACTCACCTCTGGCGGTCCTCATCCAGGCAGTTCACAATGGCATTCCTCTGCTCAATAATGGTCACCAGCTCCTGCATCAGCACCTTCTCCCTCCCTCGGTCCTCATCAGTCCAGTCCTTCTCTATGCAGCCAAACCCCAAGGAACAACAGGCAATTAAATGGCTGAAGGAGCTCTGAAATTCAGAGCTTTGGGGCAGAGATCTCCTAGCATGGTCCCCTGCTATCCTGCCATGTTGCAGGGCCGGTTGGGCTAGCAGTGTTATGTGGGAGAGCACTGCAGGCACCATCCCATGGGGATGAAAGAAGCATGTCCTTGCACAAGCCTGGGACATGCAATGAGATGGGGCAGTGGCTCTAGAGGCAGCTGATAGCACTGGCGTCCCTACAGATCTGTCACTCTTCACCTGAGGCCCACGTAGACAGGGGAGATGATGCCCAGGGGTAAAATGGAGGTTAACTGCATCCAGAGTGATGCTTTACCTGGCTTGTTGAGGAGGCAACGCAGTTCATACTCCACATCTGATTGCCGCTGCTCCAGATTCTGCTGCTTGAAGCTGCAAGGGAAGGAGTGCTGCCAGGCTCCGGAGAGGCAGAACACCATCCCAGAGTACAGGGTGAGCTTGGAAAGAGCCAATAAGATGGTGATCTTCTCCAATATAGCCAGAGAGTCAAGCAACAGCAAGACCAGCCCTGGCTGCTCAAGGCCTTCCTTGAAGAGATGCTGCAGGGGCTCTGGTGACTCGCAGTGGGTCAGTTCTGACAGTGTTTGGATAGATTTATCTGCTTGCACTCCTCCCCTCCCTTCTCCAGGCAAGGAGGCCGTGTCAGGCTCTCCCCTGGAAGTAGTTTCAGGAGGGCTGAGACAGGGTTCCCTCCAAAACATCTACCTCCCCACACACTTACATGTAGATGAGCTCTGATTCGTGGCGAACTAGCATGTGCTTCTCATGGATGAGCTTGAACCAGTCCACAAGCAGGCTGTCCTCTGGGCTGTCTGCTAAGCAAAAGGACAATTCAGAGCCATCCCCAGCCCTGCAGGATCCCACCACCCTGCAGCAGGCTGGGCTCTGTCCAGCCAGTGGAGGGGCACTAGAGCAAACCTGACCCAAGCCTCTTCCTGAGCCCCTGAGAGACCTTATCTCTTCTCCCACTGCTCCAGCCTCGGGACATCTCCATGTCCAGGGTCTGGCTGTGACCATTCCTTGCACCCAGCACAGCCCCTTCTGCTCTTCCAAACCCAGCATCAGCAGGGAGGGAGTCACAGCTCTGTCTCCTTGGCTGGACAGAGGGCAGTTCAAGGGTCCATCCTGCGCCATACCCACAGACAGCTCACCCTATCCCACATACCATTCTCAGCACTCCGAAGTTTTTCCTCCAAGGCCACCCCACGGTGCTCCAGCTGGTCCAGCTGCTGCTCAATGGCATCCATCTGCCCATAGATGTCTTCCTCAGGGATGTACTGATCTGTCTGCACCTGCCAAACCATATGGCAGAGACTGCCATTATCACCCACATCCAGTTTCCAGTGGCAACCCAAAGGTTGATCAACACTAACGAGGGCAGGGGGACAAGAGAACATTCCACCTAGGCATGGATTTGAGATCCCCACCCCACTCTGGATCAAAGGGAGACCATGGTGTTGCCATCAACAGGATCTAGCCTAGACACCATCCTACCCAGCCATGTGCTGCAACCCTATCCATACATGCATCAGCAGGGTGCATGTACACAGCTATGGCCCTGGGGGATAGCACAAAGCTGGCCTTCTCGCCCTGGTTCCCAA